CCATTTATGTACCATTAAACCTTGTACTTTCAAACCTCTGTCCTCGTAATTACTAATGTTTAAACTAAGATAAGATTAAAATAACACCATATTTAGAGGTTTATTTCACGGGTTATGAGCACGGGTAACTAGCAGTCATACCCGTCCTTCGTACGGGGTTGGCATATAAGTATAAAATGATTATTCCAGTTATATTCAAGCTTTGCGTTTGCAATGGGGGAGGACACAGTTTGATACATTTGTTTCTTTAAATTTACAGTATACTATAGTATGGCACATCTACAATAGTCATAATGTTCTACCACTTCACCTAAACAATAGATAAAAACAAATTATAAAAAAATTTGCTAAATATCACAAATTATTCATGAAATAAAAAATAAATATAACTGTAAACAATCCTACTTTGACAGTTCTCATTGCTTATCACAGTTTTTTGCTGCTGCTTAGTTCAAATTTAGCTGTTTTCATAAATGCAAAAAAAATAATAGTGCTGCAACCTGTTGGTAAATCTTATAACTTTTTAATGCTTTTGTTTATCATAGAACCAACTTTTTCAGTTGAAACAGCTGACTAAATACTTTAATTCCCTTTAAATATGAATACTCATAAGGTTAACATGGGGAACTACAGAGCCACTGGGGCGGAGCCCGAAAGGATTTTTGAGATAAGAATATGCCTATATGTTAATCGGGAATGTGAGCTATCATCATGCCAAATTTCAGCCCAATCCGTCCAGTAGTTAATGCGTGATTGAACTTCAAACAAACAAACAAACAAACACACAAACTTTCACATTTATAATATTAGTAAGATAAGATTAATTGTCGGGACCACATAAGTTTGCAGGTGAGGGAGGAGTCTATTTACCATATGGGTTTGAATGAACCAATGATAACCGTGCGGTGTTGCCAAATCATATATTACCAGCTGATTTGAAAATATTGCTTAGTATATTTTATTAGCGCGATGTGGCAACGTTGCACTAGCCTTGTCTTGTGATTGGCTGCCACCAACTGCAAACTTACGTGGTCCCGACAAATATTTACTGCTTCCATGGTTTTTACAAGTATTATACTTTTGTAAAAAATATATTTTTTTGTTTGCAATAAAAACAACTACGATTTTCCCCTCTTTAATACTATTATTGCATTTCATCATGAAAAAATTAAGGGTTCAAACTATTATTTTCAAAATAGTTTAGGAAAAATAATAAAGGTTTAGTTAAGTAGTAAAGGATATGGTAGGATCATAAAATGTTCGCCAAAACATGAGCAAATGAATATAGATATAATGTCTAAAGTTTAAAGAGCTAAATATCAAAAACTTTTCTTATATACCCATTTTTTTGGGGGGGGGTACACTAGACTTAAAGGGTTAAGCCTTCATATAGCATTTCAAATGAAATATATTGGCAGCATTTTGCATACGTGTAGTGATTGAAAGGAGCAGACCTACCCTAGTGGTCCCCTGTGCTTGTCAGCCACAAGTTGGCTTTTTGGGCTCCTTTTTAGTGTGTCAGAGCCTGTCAAACCAGAGTTGCTTGATGAACTGCAGCATCCTGTCTACAAGCTGCTCCTAAGAATGGTGTCTACCATGAAAATGGGTCATTATTATGTGTATTTAAATCCCACTGAAATTATCATGACATGGCTTTCTTGGGTTTCCATGACTTGATAATAAACAAAAATGCAGGAACAGTAGGTAAAAACAAGAGCATACAGACACCATTTTGGCAAACATAAGAGTTCTCTGCATGGTCCGCCCTTAAGAAAAATAAAGAGTTTAAAGGAGCCTGAATGATCCAGCAACTATAAGGAGGCAAGGCATAAAACAGATAAATAGAGGACTAAGACAAATGCATACCTCTCTTGCAAGGTTTAAGTTGATTTTTAATTTATAAATTTTAAAGTTATGTGTAATTTACTGAATGTACATAAAAATACGTCTGATAACACTGGTACGACACAATTCATTCGCCTATTGGGCCTCATGATGATTGGAGTGTCCAATCAAAATCGATTACCCCTTACCATCTTTTATGTCTTGTGAGCCAACAGTTAAGTTAAAATATGTATGTTACATATGTTATTAGAAGTTTTTTTATTTACTTTCATTATTTTCCAACCTTGTCCTTGTCTTTCCAACTAATTATTATGAGAGAACCTTTTAAGTCACAGAAAGGTGAATTTTATTTATATTTCTCACATTTTTGTAAAGCATGGTTCATAGGCATGTTTATTGTTACCATTTATAGTTTTGTTGCAAATTGGACTTCTGAATTTTAAGCTTTTTAAGCTATTACTGAGTTTTCTACATAGAATTGAAGCTGAACAAAAATTAAATCCTCCTTCAGTACAGTATGTCTATTAAACTTCTATTGGGTTGAAGTAGTTTTCTTTACGGTTATGATCCATAAAAAATGCACAAATTGCAGTTGTAGTAAAATTGTCATGCGTCTTAAAACAAAATGTTTTATTCTCAGTAAACAAAAAAATTAAGTATTGTCTGCAAACACTACATCCCAAGAAAAAACAAAAAAAAAACTCATGGAATGGGAATCAATAAAACACATTGGTGGAAAAGAAATCTGTTTTTCTCTCCAAAATATGTATTTATTCAATCTAAGACTTTACATTGTATCGAAAAAGTCATAAAGTTCTTTTATTCAATAGTAATTCATCTTTAACATGACAACAGAACCGCTTCTAAGTACTTTGACACAAGGAAAATAAGGTTAAGTACAAATGAAACAGCCTACAGTAGGCCTACAATTAACAATAACACGCAAGTTGCAACTGGCGAACACGGACATCGTAACTGAAGCTAAGCGACTACAGTGGTTGGGTGATTGTACTGAAGGCTCATGAGAAGCTTCAGGTCGCAACTATGGACTTACGACACGCTCAGTGAGATCATTGTAACCTTTTGAAACGATTTACAAACTGGGATGGAAATTTTACAATGAAAAATTCACACCGGTAAAAGTGGTCACCATGAAGAGTTTTTGACAAAAGGTTACATAGGAACATGTATTTTCACAAGGTCAACAAAAATTTCACAACAACTAATCGATCCATAGTTACAGCTTCAACATAACCCATACAGCACATATTATTCCCAGAACGATCTCAGAATGTTCTGAATGTGCTCTGATTGTGCTGGCACTGAGTGGCACATTCATAATATTCTCAGATCGTTCTATGTATATTCACAGTGAATATTCCTTTGGAAAGTCCTGTTAGAATGTTCTCAGAATATTATAATTTAGAATATTCTGTACTACTTAGTTGAGGATATTCTAGGAATAGTCTGAGAATATTCTACAGAAACTACAGCAGCGCTTATTACATGCACACCACATTCAACTACGTCCATCCATAGGCACTGTTATTACCAACCCACCTCGGGCAACCGCTCCAGTGGCTTGTTCTTTAATCTAACTAAAGCATTTGATTTGGTAGACCATAGTCTTCTGCTAAATAAAATGTTCAATATGGGGATTAGAGGTATTGCACTTCAGTGGTTTCAGTCATATCTAGTCGAAAGGGTGCAATTCGTCAAGGTAAATTCCGTTGATAAGTCAAATAACATATGCAATAGGGTTTCCAAAAAAGGAACTGTCAATAAGGGCGTGCCACAAGGCTCAATTTCGGGCCCTGTCCTTTTTTTGTTATTTATCAACGATCTTTGGCAGGGCTTGTCTGTTCCAAACTTGTGCCTCTATGCTGATGACACGTCATTAACGTTTTCTAGCCCATCAAGAAACCGCCTAGAACTTGATACGTTCTTAGAGGGGAATGCACTTGTTAATTGGCTTGAGCAAAATAGACTACAAGTAAATATCTTGAAAACTACCCTTATTGAATTCTCTATCAACTGTAATTCAAATAGCAGTTTGCTCAGTATTTATTTGGGTGATGTACCTGTGTTTTCAGAACGCTCCGTTAAGTTCCTTGGTCTAATCATTGATCGCAATTTGACGTTTCATGATCATATAGATCACGTATGCAATAAACTGAGTCAGGGTATTTCTGTGCTCCTAAAACTGGTTCGCTTTGCATTGACTGATATACTCATGACCGCTAATTATGGTATTATCTATCCATTTATATCCTATGGGGTTTCAATTTGGGGCTTTGAGAGCACCAGATCCAAGTCAGTGTTTGGGCTTCAGAAGAAAGCTATAAGATTAATTTTTCAGGTTTCATCCAGAACCTCATGTACCAAACTTTTCTCGTCCAACAAACTTTTAACCTTCCCATCGATTTATATTTTTGAAACTTTATTATTTTTGCATAAAAACTACCATCTTTTTCGTCAATTTCTTCCATCTCACACTTATGGAACAAGAAGTAAGCCCAGATGCATTATGAATATCCCGCCACACTCCACCACATTTTTTCAGCATCATTTAAAATACTCAGCAATAGTTCTTTTCAACAATCTCCCACCAAGTTTAAGATCCGTTCAAGATTATGTAGTATTTAGGAGGAGGTTGAAATGTTTGTTAATTAAAAAAATGTATTACTCAGTAAATGCCTTTTTAACTGATAAGTTTGAAAATGTATAATTCGTTTTTAGAGGCATTGTTTTATTTAGTTGCCATTTTGTAATTTTGACTTGGCATATACATTGTAACTATGTCTACATGCTTAATAAAGAATTTGAATTTGAATATGTTGTAATCCCCCCATAAAAAAAAATCAGATAGGATAGTAGGTTAGACCTACCATTTAAACATTGATAGGCCTAACTACCGAATTTATTTCCCACAGTTTTACGAGATTCCTAAGCTTAAATATTAAATTTGACACTTGTTCTGTTTTTTTTTTATGTAAGGGAATAGCCAAAAGTCGAAATAATTTTAGCGATCCAAACATTAACCCCCAAATTGCTTAGGGTAGTCCAGTAAGTTTGGCCTGTTTAAAATGTAAGTTACCCAAATTTGAATTGGTTTCAGGTGTATGGTAATCTTCAGAAAAGTGGTGCTTGGAACAGGAATTTTGACTAGGTAGTGTCTCGGCCCTTTTCTACTTATCTTATTCAACAATGGCATGGCGTTCCCACGGGCGCTCAAATTTAGATCTAGTTAAAAACCTTAGAGGTGAGCTCATACAGTCTTATGCAACTGATGATTTAATACCACATTTATCAAGCTTGTGGCAACTTGAATGAGTTGACAAAAGAGTTCAATACTTGAATACTTGTCTTCTACATTGTTGACCGACATGTCGGATAGATTGCGTCATGTTTTATTTCTATTTATCACAATCAATCAATCAATAAATCTTTATTCAATACATACAAAACAAGTGTACATGAATGTGTCATCAACCTAAAAATACTTCACATAATTTTTAAAACCTACTAGTTATGTATCTAAGTGGCCCAGCAGTTTAACTTGCCTAACTAGCTTGGTTAATTCAGGCTATATCCATTTACCTAACTTAAGTCTTATTTTTAAATTCCATAATAAGGCATAGGCCTACATATTCATTCCTAACAAACACAATTAACTTAGCACACATCAACCATCCACAATATCGTGTAGGCCTAAATTATTACTTAGCAATAACTTAAAGTAAACTGAATCCACATCAAATTGACTTAAATTAATTTAATCCATTTTTTTCTTAAACCTATTTATCAGTTGATTAAAGAGTGAGAGAGTAATTAATTGATAAAATATTGGACCGTCAATTAATCTGGCAATTTAACAAATTTAATTTTAGCTCTGTGGGACATGGTTTCGATTTATTTTATTCTCGTGATGTGTGCCCAGTAACCAGTAGTTCTATTTATTAATTTGGCTGGTTTGTTTTTATCTTGTTCCTTTCTCTTATTTTTCTTAGCTTAAGCATTTGAAGACTAGCCTGTTTATCTTTTTTAAAACATATGCCACTTTGTTTGTAGCCAACAAGGTTATACACAGCGATGATGTGGAGAACGTCTTGGCCTTAGCCCAGGTTGACGTTGACAGAGGCAAGAACGTAACTCACAATCCGTACATGGACGCGCCACAGAGTATTGGCTACGGTGTCACCATCAGCGCTCCTCACATGGTCACAGGATCCTCACAGCGTTTGACACAGTTCAACATGATATTTTGAAAAAAAATTGCTTTTTTATAGATGCGACCTTAATTCTGTTAATCTCATAATGTCTTATTTAACGAACCGGACTCAGTTTGTACTTAAGGATGGAACTTTTTCAAGAGGCAGACTGGTAGAGTATGGTGTGCCACAAGGCTCTATACTTGGACCAATTTTGTTCAATATCTATATCAATGATCAACCGATTAGTGTTGAGAGAATAGGCATCGATGGCTTTTTATTTGCAGGTGACCTTGGTTTAAAAATTGTTGATAACACAAAGCAAGGTATAGTAGACAAACTTGATTCTAGTCTTTTGACTCTTCAGGACTGGTGTGCTGCTAACTATCTATCACTTAATACGGAGAAAATTTATGACTTGTATTTTAGCTACAATAAAAATGTTAGTAATACCTACTTCAGAAAACAATGTTTTAAAGTTTTTAGGTATTTGGTTGGATTCTAATCTGTCCTGGAACTTCCAAGTAGATTTTATTGCTAAGAGATTGTCCAAGGGTTTATACAGGGTGGCTGAAAAGTAACTTGCACCCCCCTTAGCTTTTCAACCATTTGAGATATTTGAAATCTGTTTGCGGCAACCTTCTTAGATATGAGGGGCTACAATAAATATGGTCAATTTTGAAAATTTTGCCCTTAGGGGTAGCGGGGGTAGGTGGTAGCTCAAAATCTTCAAATGACAAGTATAGTCGAGTTTGGTATCATTTTACAGGTCTTGACGAAACATAAACATTGACATAAAGAAAACCAAAATCGGTCCACTAATAACAAAATGGCGCCCAAAAACGTTTCAAATCAAAATAACCATTAGGGTGGCAAAAAAATTAACTTGCACCCTCTTTAACCTTTTGACTATTTGAGATATTTGAAATCGGTTTGCTGCAAATTGTTTGGATATAAAGGGCTACAATAAATTATGGTCAGTTTTGAAAATTTTGCCCTTAGGGGTAGCGGGGGTAGGGGGAAGCTCAACATTTTCAAATAGCAAGTATAGTCGAGTTTGGTATCATTTTGTAGGTCTTGACGAAACATAACAATTAACATAAAGAAAATAGAAATCGGAGCATTAATAACAAAATGGCAGCAAAAAATTATTGAGACAATGGTTATTTAAAGTAATTTTGAACTGCCATTTTATTATTAATGGTCCGATTTCTATTTTCTTTATGTTAATTGTTATGTTTCGTCAAGACCTACAAAATGATACCAAACTCGACTATACTTGCTATTTGAAAATTTTGATCTACCCCCTACCCACGCTACCCCTAAGGGCAAAATTTGCAAAATTGACCATAATTATTGTAGCCCTTTATATCCAAACAAGTTGCCGCAAACCGATTTCAAATCTATTATTTAGTTAAAAAGTTAAAGAGGGTGCAAGTTAATTTTCTTGCCACCCTCATGGTTATTTGGATTTGAAACGTTTTTGGGCGCCATTTTGTTATTAGAGAGCCTATTTTGGTTTTCTTTATGTCAATATTTATGTTTCGTCAAGACCTGTAAAATGATACCAAACTCGACTATACTTGTCATTTGAAAATTTTGAGCTACCCCCGCTACCCCTAAGGGCAAAATTTTCAAAATTGACCATAATTATTGTAGCCCCTCATATCTAAGAAGGTTGCCGCAAACCAATTTCAAATATCTCAAATGGTTGAAAAGTTAAGGGGGGGTGCAAGTTACTTTTCAGCCACCCTGTATATGCTTAGGAGGTTAAGGCATTGTGTTGATAACAATGTATTGTTAACTGTTTATTATACACAAATTCATAGTATTTTAACATATGGTATTGTTTTATGGGAAGCTAGTTCATATTGCAAAAAACTGTTTATTTTGCAAAAAAGAGCAATCAGGTTAGTTTGTAATGTCCCTTATAGAAAGTCTTGTAAATCCTTATTTGTAAATTTGCTTGCGTGTATTAACTCTCTACTCTCTTTATGTATTACACTCTCTGTGTTATGTCCACTCAAATTTAGACTCATTTAGTATTAATGCTGATTTTCATTCTTATAATACAAGAAACAAATGTAATTTAAGAGTTCAACAATTTAAGTATTCTGCTTCACAGAAAGACTGGTTGTATGTCAACCAAGCTCTTTAATTCTTTACCAAAAAATATAAAGTCACTGCCAGAAACTAAATTTAAAAATAAAATAAAAAATGTACTCATTAATGAGCGACTCTATACAATTGAAAACTTTTTTGAGATATGCTGGGAAATGTACAACTAAATCCTTCGATCTTCGATCTAATCTAATTAAATTTCAGTACCTATCTATCACTCATGTTATTCAATGCAAAAAAATTTTGAGGTCTAGTGTTAAAAGTTTGATTATCTATTAAACATTTTGTTTATTTTTTATTATGTAACTATGTATATTTGTATATGCATTTCACATGACATTATTGTATATTTCATGTTTTAGGTCTAAGTTGTGACGATTGTCAATACACTGTATTTTTTGTGTTTCAATGACAATAAATATTCTTGATTCTTGAAAGCTGATTTTGAGCTAAATTAACTTTTAGGCTTTTAGCAACTAACTTAGACCTAAGCTAAATGGCTTTTTAAAAGTTTAATTGGATTGAAAATTTTGTTATTGTTCTTTTAAATACAATTCAATATATAATTTTGCACTGAAGTTGTACATAATGTTATTGTATCTGAACTCTAATGGGCCCAGTGGTGGATCCAGCCAGCCCCCCCTCGGACATAAAAAATGTTATACTATAGGGTAGGCCTAACATGTAATAAGTCTGGCCTACACTCTTAGCAATTAATTAGGCCTACTTAACTGCCAGAAATTGACAAATTTATGTATTTTCCCTCGTAACTTAGGCCTAGGTACTTAACCCTGCAAGTGTATTCCACTTTAGTAGCTTTTATTTTGAGGAAGCAGTCACATTCGACTTAAAAAAGGACAATTTGCCTACTTCAGAATGCGTTGCACTAGATCCTCTCCAGTCCATATGAACTAACTAGATTGAATTAAGTGTGACCGTAAAGTGAAATTCTAAGCTTTATTTTATAACCTGTCTTAAGATTACCACAGTTAAGTTGTCCCCATGTTGAAAGGTTCTGGCATTGACTTTAAATCATACGTATGTGGGCCTAAAATTTTCATCGTATTTTAAATTGTGATGCTCATTTTGGCTGATTTCAAGGATAAATTAATTTATATAAGTCAAAATTGTGGGCGACTGGCATGGTCGAAGGTGGGAAGTCGTAGAATGACGGGAGCGGGCTCAAATTAATGGTCTCGATCCTGTGACGGCGGGAAAAATAGTGGGATTCCCAAAATTATTACGCAAAATTAGATATAACCTTTAGTATCCAATAGTCAATGATATAACGTAAAATAATCTCCATAAAAATAGAATTGGAAACCATCACTGCTGATTTTTGTTTACTACAATAAAACTGTGTTAAGCCAGCAAGCAATATTACATTAGGATTACTCATTTATTTGCCAGCCGATTCTGCAATGTACTGTATACAATATAAAACCAGGGATAACGTTACAAATAATAATAAGACTTTTTCACCACACTATCATGTTTTTGGCTGTATTACATACGTTAATTGGTGGCCGAAAGTTACGTTTTGCTGGCGATGCCAGCTGTCCATAATTTGGGGACCGAGCAGGTTTTTACAGGCCGGGGCCGCAAAATCAGCTGTCCGCTTACTTACTTAAAACATGAATGCATTTTAAATACATAATCAAAATCCATAGCATTTCAATAGAATTGTGTTATTGTCACCGTTGCCTAGCAACTATATATTTTTATTTTTGCTGATTCCTCAAATTATTTCTTCACATAACCTTAAAGTTGTAGTTGTGTTGACTATCAGTGTGCATTATTATTGTGGTGAATAGTGGTAATAGGGTATAGTGTGGTGAAAAATAGCGTTCGTACCACGGACCGAAATGGTTTTGCGGCTCTCGATCGATTTAAGTTCTCGACTTCGTCTCGAACTTAAAAACTATCTCGAGCCGGCAAAACCTCATTTTCGGCCCTAGGTACGAAATATACTATTACTTTCTTTCCCTATACATATGGAGAAAGTATTGTTTTCGTCAAAATTTTCGAGTTTGAGTTTTGAGGGGATATATTCGTTTTGAGTCCTTCTGAACCACATTAAAAAAACAGGCCGTGGTCGTAATGCTCGTCAAGCATGACGTCACGATAAGATTTTTAATAGTAATTTTTCCATAAAAACCCATAAAATAATGGAAAATAGGATTTTCTAGAAAATAAACCGAATGATTTTTACAATGATTTTGTTTGTTAAAGTCCTTTAAATTCTAAAAATGGTACAAATTCTATTTCCGTTAAAATTACAGTTCCAAAGTTGTTGTAACTTATTTCATTTTCCCATAAAAACCACAAAAAGCAAAAACTTGGATTAAAAAACCCGGTTTTGATTAAAATTATTTTATGGTCCTTAACATTTTGATTAAAATTTTACAGATCCCATTTCAGTAAAAAGTACGACTCAAAAGTTATTGTAATTTAGTTTATTTCCCATTAAACCCCCATAAAATAACAAAATATCAAATTTTAGGAAAAAATCCATAATGTTTATGGTCCTTATAATTCTAAACAAAAATAGTGCAACCCCCCATTGTTGTAACGATTACGGTTTAAAAGTAATTTCCGTAAAAATTACGGTTCAAAAGTTATTGCAACTTTTGTGATTTTTTCCTACAAAATTATCATAGTTACTCCCACTGTTAACCCATGATAAAGGTTGTTGACAAGCTTATGGGAGAAAGTATGAGTCAGATTGCTGATACCATTTATTTAGTTTGTTTAGACTATTTAAATATTTTTACACATTTTTTAATATTCTTATATTTGCTGAAAGACATTTTGTTGGACAACTTCAGGTTCGTGTTCGTGTTCAGCACCCTCAAACATTTTTAACATTATTGAAACATTTTTGTCATAAAAATATAAACTGCTTTTACTTGTATAAAAGTACACAAACATGTATATTAATATTCAAACAAGACAT